AACTAACATGTTTCACAGAATTGTCCAGTGTAGCATGATGGACAGGTACATGTGTATGCTGTACAAGAACCAGCAACTTGGACACAGGCACCTCCATTTTGACAAGCGTGGTTGGAACAAGCATTCAATACTGAGTATTTTAGGAAAGTAGAGTAGAAAGCCATGTGTTAAAAGACAATATATTTTCATTATTATTGGCTTTGTATTTTTTTCAATTGTGCCATTTCTCTAGAGATTAAATATGTGCACCATATAAATAACTATTATTTTTAATTGATTGTTCTCAAAAATATGATAAATATAAAAATATTAACATTATAAATATATAATTTTAATAATTTTGATTATATTATTAAATAAATGAATATAACATAGATTCAAATAAACAATTACAATCTTGAAATATACTCACAAGTTTCACAGAATTGTCCAGTGTAGCATGATGGACAGGTACATGTGTATGCTGTACAGGAACCAGAAACCTGGACACAAGCAGCTCCATTCTGACAAGCATTGTTGTTACAAGCATTCAATACTGAAAAAAATATAATCAAGTAAAATATTAATATATATAGAACAGAAAAAAATCGTTGATGGTATAATTTTATCTTAATATGGAAATACCTATACACTAAAGTCTTACAAAGAAATAGGGGGAACTAAGACTAAAAACTAACATGTTTCACAGAATTGTCCAGTGTAGCATGATGGACAGGTACATGTGTATGCTGTACAGGAACCAGCAACTTGGACACAGGCACCTCCGTTTTGACAAGCGTGGTTGGAACAAGCATTCAATACTGAGTTTTTTGGGAAGTAGAGTAGAAAGCCATGTGTTAAAAGACAATTTATTTTCATTATTATTGGCTTTGTATTTTTTCAATTTTCAATTTTTCAATTCTGCCATTTCTCTAGAGATTAAGTATGTGAACCATATAAATAGCTGTATTATTTTTAATTGATTGTTCTCAAAAATATGATCAATATTAAAATATTAACATTAAAAATATATAATTTTAATAATTTTGATTACATTATTAAATAAATGAATATAGCATGGATTCAAACAAAAAATTACAATCTTGAAATATACTCACAAGTTTCACAGAATTGTCCAGTGTAGCAAGATGGACAGGTACATGTGTATGCTGTACAGGAACCAGAAACCTGGACACAGGCAGCTCCATTCTGACAAGCATTGTTGTCACAAGCATTTAGCACTAATATTTAAGAGTGGAATGAAATTGAAAAGCTGGATTATAGAGATAACCACCATAATTCTTATTTTCAAAATGAATAA